AAATTTCTTAAGCTGTCTCAAGTTTCTCTGAATTTTCCACATGCACACTCAAACTTTTCTCATTATCAAGTTTTTGATTGCCAGGTTCCAAACTTAACTTAACAATTTTTTTTTGGGTTTCCAAATGAATAAATTTGATTTTTGGGCGGACTCTTTGAGGGCGAAGTTGTCTTTGAGCGAAACTTCCGGTCTCTTACCCGGCGAAGAAAATTCTAAAAGTTATTTCTTCCCTTTTAAGCTTCAGGAATAAACTTCTTCCTCGAACCTTACTCATCATTACGTACTCGAACTAGTTCCCAAACCATCTCGTCTAAGCTTACTAAACGAGTAGAGGCGATTTGCAAAAAATTCCCGTCCCTTCACGTGAAATTCGTTTATTTTGACAAGGAGTCAGCGGTATGTTCCCTCGATAGAACGAGGGCTCATTTTCCCGATGACACTTCACCGCTAAATTGATCTTGAGAATCTCGTTTGCTGCATCGGAAAATAATTTCATAGTAGTCATTTAAAATATCAGACACAACAGCTATGATACTGCACTGATAATTCCTACAGTAACAGACCCGTTAGTAGAATCTTAGCCGAGGAATTCATCTCGCCTCTTTTTCTTGATAACGCTTGAAATTAAAGAACATTACTTGTAGTTACGAATTTCCGGTGACTGACAGAGTGAAATGAAATTCGTGCAAACACAAAAACAAAATAATTCATTGATGCATAAATAAATATAAACAAGAAAATGATAAAACGTGATTGAGTATTTCACGTTTGGCTTGATTTAGAGGTTAGATTTTCCCGTGTTATGCTATTTGCATTAAGGCAAGAAATGAAACTAATTTTTACTACGCATTGCACGACATGGAAAACGAAATTATGGGACTATAGAACTTTCAAGATGCATGCACCAAAACCCTTAGGGCAAAAATATATTCATGAACGAGAAAATATTGAAACACATGGGGTAAAATAAATATCAAAGTTCAATAGAAGGTGTGCTCTTACCATATAACAGCTGACAAACAAGATCTGGAGAGGAACTGAAGTATATGACACCTGCCTGTGAATTCAGAATTACTTTGATACACTGAACGCATTCCAGCGCTACAAAGGCGTCCATGAAAGCGATATGTCGGTTTTGAGCCGATAAACGGACAGAGAGAATTTCAAGAGCGTTCATCAACACTTCCAGGCCTCCCTGTTCCAGAAATTCTGTCATCCACTGTGCCGAACATTTGGCGAGTTTTGGATGAAGGGCAGAGTAGTTTTTCAGTGATGGAACTCGGAGTAAACTCACGCAAAGCTCTGGTTCAACGTTGCTGAACTGTCCTTGATGATTTGCCTCGATATGGACATTTTGTTGAAAAATTGGCATCTTACGCAGTCTTTTCCAACCTGAAGTCTCCATTGCTTAGTACGACAATTGCAAAACAAAACGCTTGTTCGACCTTCGAAAGCTCGTTGATTGTGATCCGCAGCGAAACCGAAGTCAGTGCATATAATAACATAGACTGACAGCAGGGACACCTTGTTCGTGATAAACAATGCTTCCTTAATTCAATTCAAAACGTGACCTTTTAGTACTTTGTGACTCTAGGAAATTGGTTCCTTATGGGTTCTTATGTAATCGGATGCGAAAAACGTTAGATGGGCTATCTTTCGCTTTAGTTCTATTTTAAAACTGAACATCAACGATAGAACTTTTCGTTTTTCATATTCCGCCTATAGCGTTTAAGATCAGTGAATTGATCCTATAATTTTCTTGTTTGTTTAGGTAGATTAGATTTTTGAATCGATTTGTTTCTTGAGAAGTCACGTACTTACAACTATTCGTGTCGGCAAAACTACCGACACTGCCTTTAGAGAGCATGTATCAAAGCAGTTACGCGCAATGTTTGAAACTTTATTATCATGATCATATTGGCTTCGAAACCTACACAAATTGTTACAGAAAATAGGATTGTAAGTCAGCTGTGACAAGGTTAAATGATTGTGGGTATCAATTGACTTCGTGAAGGAAATTAGAGGATTACAGGCTCTTGGCAACGAAACGGATGGGGCGTGTACGCTAACCTCTAAAAAAATAGAAAAAAGGTTGATTGAAAGGTTCTTCCCTTCTGATGTAATCACAAACCCACGTTTTCGTTGACGACTGACAGACGGTCTTCGAGCATTTTTTTCATCATAATTCTCTAACCCTTTATTAAGCATGAATCTCGCTAAATTTTTGCAAAGATAATTCCTCTGCAACAATTAATACAGGATATTCAAGTGGAAAATAAACTCGTAACAGGTCACAAAAAGCTGTTAATCGCTGTTTCTGCTGAGTTTACCGGATCGTGACAAGGAAAGTATGATTATTGAATGCAGCTTTCAAACGACTGAGAAGTAGCTGGGTGTTGAAATAAGGGAAGCCGAAAGTTCAAGCGTATTCAAGTACATTTGATTAAGTTCTTTAATTAATTCACAAAGTATCTTATTTAATTAGCTGTTGAAGACGCTGCTGATGACAGTTGACTCAAGAGACATATTGGCTTTTTTTAAAAATAGACACACTTTCTCAACATTTTCAAGAAACCGTGCGCAAGTCAAGTGCCTCAACCAGGTCTTATGTAACTGACCTATTTCCGGTGGAAGCACAATCGAATCTTAAAGGTTGCGTTTGGACTGTGCTCTGTATATGATATTTAATAATATTTAATGTCGTTCTTAGATGAAAAGGAACGCAAGCCAGCTGAGTGGCTTCCACAGAATTATAACTGACTTTCTTCCGGCGGAAACTTACATCACTTTTACTTACTCGAGAAAATCGCGTGACGAGTGATGCCTTAATTTTGTACTTAGTAATGTACTTCCGCACAGAGTACGGAATTGACTTCAGGTTACGAAAGCGCGCAAACTCTGCGAAGCTAAAATAAATGTATAAAAACCATCTATTTGACAAGAAAGAGCTCCAAATTAGTTCAAAAAGCAACCTTGCCTCAGGCGATTTGATTGACACGGATTTATTTTAGTAAACCATTTGCTTCTCTGGCCTAACCCCGGGACAACCTGTTGCAATATGCGAGCACGCTAAGTTGCTTCCCTAAAAACTATCCTAAATCAAGTTACTCTACTTACGAAGTCTCACGTCTTTGAAATGTTTTAAAATACGCAAAAGGAGGGCTGTCGAAAGTAGGCCAGGTTGTATTGTTGATCAATTAGTGAACTAACGAAGCGTTAATGGGCTTAACATTTGTGTCTTTGTGGTCAGATTAGCGTCTAAGTTACGTGCAAAATCGAACACAAAGAAATAAGCTGTTGTATACTTCCACTGTATTTTGACGTGCTCGCGACCTTGATTTGCAGAAAATCGCCAAGAACGAGAATGATATTGTTGTTTTCCTCACCCATTTGAATGAAAACCGAACTCTCTAGCGTGTCAGACAAGCTATGATTTTTTTTTTCTTCAGTCACTGCTACTAATTAACTGGCTTTGTGATTGTCTGATTCAACTAATATAATTCAAAAAAATGTTTTTCCAAAATCACTTAATGACCGAGAAAAACATGACCCCATCAAGTTTAGGTTTTTCAAAAAATTAATGCGAGGTCGTTGAGATTAAAAACGCGGAAAGAACCTATCCACTTCATTAATTTTAGTTGCATATATTCAAATACAAAACTTCATTTTACACCGTCTCTTTTATATTTCGATGAGTAGGGTTTTAGTTGCTTTATGTGCTGGTTAAAGGCGGAATTTTAGCGCGTAAATTGCATCAACCTGTGAATTAGCGCGGAAAGCCGGTCTGATAACACGGCTTAAAATTATTGTTACTCTAAGGAAATTATGAAAAGATAACCACCAACAAATCGATTTATATTGCAAGTAAGAATTGATAACATTATCAGAACCCAAAAGTCACTTATCTCGTCGATTAAATGCGCTTTTCCTCGTTCATCTGCGCTCTAGCGCCAACACAAGAATAACAACTACATAAATAATTCCATTGCTCAAAATAATGATTAAAATTCACCCACCAGTTACAAGCTGTTTCGTAAGTGAAGGATCGGTGGTCATATATTCCAAACCCGTCACATTATTCAAGACTGCCTTGATGCACCGGACACATTCGAGCTGCAGAAACGCGTCGGAAAACTTCGCTAGACCTCGCTCGCAAAGTTTTTCTAGAACGCTAAACAGCGTAGTCAGTCCTCCTTGCTCCAAAAAGTCCGTCATCCACTTCTTGGAACTCTTTTCAAGCTTTTGAATCAAACTTGCGTATGTCTTGAGGGTAGGAATTCGCAGAAATTTTATAAAGAGTTCGGGTTCTACCTCGTTCAATTTTTGAAGATCGATGTTGAGTTCTTCGCCGCGGCCATCGGCGTTATCTTTGATTTCCACTCCACCGGCTTTGGCAAGTCTTTTCCAATTCTTCGACATGACGATCGATGATTTAGAAAGTAACAGCAAGTGTGTGTATTTTCTAAATCAGTACATTCCAAATAAACGGTTGGTGTATTGCCAAAATTTTTTGCTATTCTTGTACTTCGCGTGTTATCCGCGCGGGTTATACATTGATGACCACTTGGACTTATCATTGCTTGCTAATAACCTATTTTAAATTTATTCTATGCATGTTTACCTTGTTACGCCCCTTCAATTCTTAATTGCTATTATTTCTTTTAGAACTAAGAAAGGAAATACCATATACCACAGAGGCAGTGACCTCTCTTGCGTAAACACCGAAGTGTTCGACGTCATCAGAATATTTAAAAGCACTCGATAATGTTACATTTGTCAGCTTTTAAATCTTTAAATCTTGACGAGTGTTTTCCACGCAAAACTCAGGGCGAGGCGACCTCAAATTAAATCAATTAGAATGAGCTCTCTTCTGATTAGATAAACCACGAAAACACTGTTTAACTATTACGGAAAAATGGCTAACTTCAGAAACTGTAATATATTCAGCGAAGCAGTATGTTAGCTCGGATGATACGTGCGCAAACATGGCCTTGTTTATGGGATCTCACTTTGAAGTGTCCTTTGGATTTCAAGTATGTCATCTGCAATCCTGTCAGTCATAAAACACTTCCGTAGACGATCATTATCATTTGCTTGCCTGACTTGGTCTGTTTGTCGATTTGGACCCCTAGTACTTTTAAACAAGCGAACAAATCGACTGTTGTTTTCAAATCTTTAGTTTTATCAAAACAAAATGTCGCCTAAAGAAAAAAAATCCCTTCAAAGTTAGTACAGAATTCATGGAAACCCTGATCTGCAGGCTCAAGTTCAGGACCACTATTTTGACTTCTTGCGGTAAGTTATTTTCTTTCTTATATTTCTTTTTGCGGAAATTCTCCACTGAGGACGTGAGGAATTTAGTTTATCATCAGATCCTCTACAAAAGGGCAGTCAAGCTGTGGGCTGATTGACAGATTGATTTCTGATAGTGAGAAAACAGTCGAGAAGCAGAACTTTCCCATTGGGATTCTTTGGAAGGAAGTTGAAATTCCGTGCTGCAGAGGCTTATAATTAAGCCATACATGAAACAATCCATTTCGACAATATCAGAAACTGTGTGTATAAACAAAGTGCTAATGATGCAAAAGAGTGGGGGAAAGGGTTCGATTAAGGTTCAATTCGATGAGTATAGCCGATTGTGAATAACACGTTTGCATGAAGGTTGGAAAAAGACAATAAAAATCTGTTATGAGAAGTGATCTGCCTTAAAATCTGGTGTACTGCCAGTCCTGAAGATGCAATCGTAAACACCCTCAAATGTTAATTTATGGAATTTCAACTTAAATGTGCACAATGTACTTTTCTGTATTGCGTTATGCTTACGAGGGAATTGGCAACACATTTGTGGAAGGCAAATAAATCTATTCCTCAAGTTTTATCATTATATGAAATCGTTGAAAACGTTAATGGTTGAAAATTTTGCAGTATAATCAGCTGATATGGCCGTACATGAATCGTTCATGAGCTGAAACGGTTGTTTTCTGAAAATGCTTATGCCAAGCTTGGCTTGTAGGAACAATCCTCTACTTTATCATGATTATCTTCTGATTTTTAAAAGTGTTAATGAAAACAACAAGATCACTTTCTGTAAATCGCAACCATAAGAAAGACGATTATTCTGCAGAGAAAATTTACTTATTTTTGTAGCTATCTGAACGAGTGTTTAACGCAAGGATGGGTTAAGACAAAGGTCAAAACTGAAACATGTACCAAATATCTCTGTCAGCGATCATCTGACACATTTCCAACTTACCCAGAAGCAATGAAACTGAACTACTAAACTTCTACTTCCCATGAGTGACTAAGACAGATATTCCCCTTGCAATATCAATACAATACCAGAAAGACGAGTGATGAGAATAAAGAAAAACATAAATTAGGGGATTATTAGTTGATCCAATACCAAATTTTCTATACTAACATAATAAGAATTATATGGGAGACAGTGGGGAGAATTACTAATGAGATCTTGAGAGTGAAAGGGTTGAGATAGCGATAATTTCAGTCTGACGGAAGTATTTTTTTCACAAAGAAATCCCATTACCTAAATTAAAATAAATTTTCAACTTTTGAGATGACGAAAATAACAGGAAAATATTGGAGCAAGTGGTAGTTTGTACAAGGAATGGAAAGTTACGAATTGCTTCATCGCGCCCAAAATTTGCAGAAGTGTTCGCAATCTATCGATCTAAAGTGTATTTCAATCCAAGTGCACGCTTTTTTTCTGAACTTTAAGTGCACCTAACTGCGATTAATTGGCAAAAAAGTAAATTTACTCACCATTTACAAGTTGTTTTGCTAACGAGGTATCCGAAGTCATAAATTCCAGTCCTGTTATATTATTCAACACAGCTTTGATGCACCTCACACATTCAAGTTGCAAGAAAGCATCGCTGAACTTTGTCATTTCTCGCTCGCCTAATTTTTCTAGAACTTCAAACAGCGATGTCAATCCTCCAAGCGCTAAAAATTCCGTCAGCCATTTCTTCGAGCAGTTTTCAAGTTTTCGCACTAAACTTGTGTACGTTTTGAGCGAGGGAATTCGAATAAATTTGATGAATAACTCTGGTTCAATTTCGTTCAAACTGTGTTCATCCAGCGCACCATCTATCTGATTATTGCTGCTGATTTCAATTCCACTGGCCCTTTTCAACTTTCTCCAGCGATTCACCGACGAGGCCATCTTGTGGAACGACTTGTTTAAAGAATAGAGCTAGTTTCTAATGTCAGCTTTGGACTATGAAACCACTGCTATGTTGGTGCTTTTATTTTTTTTTTCTCTTTCACAACACGCCCTGACCGCACTTCCGGTTTTTTACAAAGGTTGTTACTAGTATGGGTCGTTACGAACTGATTCGCTCAACATTTAATAGGTTACTTCACATTATAAAAAAATTTTGGTTGATATTAGTTGGAGAGAATTAATAAAACCCAGACAATCATGAGGGTTGGCGTCGAAGTTTCTCACAGAAATCAACAGGAACTGTCCAAAAAAAATTTCAATCGCAAATCTAAGTAAAAAACTCATGCTGTTCAACGTCTTCAACCTTGAGAGTAAATAACACATACGGATCGAGAAAACAGAATTTTTCAGAAGCACCTTCATGGGAAAAAAATAAACCTTCAATGTTCACCTTTTAGCTCTTTTATCGTTTGATATTTCATGTCCCCACCTCAATTTTTAAAATTTTTGTAGTGAATTTTCTCCCTTTTTTAAAATTTTGTTTGCAGTTAATTTCCTATTATTGAACAGAGTTATTACTTTATCCATCACGTACACTTGGCCCATGTCATGTGCTCGTGATATTTTTCTTTCAGGATGCTTCAAGTTCCGCAAACGAGACTCCCTCGTGATCGCAGCACGCATAACGTTTCGGTCAACTTCCTCTAAAGTAGCCAAGCCTCCCACTCATCTTAAAGGCCTGGCTGCTCAGCAAGTATTGCGACATCCTTTTGAAATTACCCACGCAATTCTCGCGGAAGGCTCGCACACATGGCCAAAGATGGCCGTCTTTCACGACGAAGTTGAGATCGAAGACTTTGAATACGACGAGGAATCTGAGACTTACTTCTACCCATGCCCCTGTGGAGATCAGTTTGAAATCACCAAGGTTTGTAGATCAGCTTTGACAACGAATCGCCATTAAACTGAGAAAGTTTCTGCGTTAAAAACTTCGTTAAGGTCTTAAAATTAAAATTGTTTATCTATAGAAATTTTTAAAGCAGACTACTGAAATGTTCGTACGGCTCGGGTGGTTACGTGTGACCTAAACACCAAAATGCTCAAATTTTTCAAGTGGTTGAAAATCTGTGTGATGGTGTGTGAACTTTGCTTAGATTTGAAACCAGTTTATGACACAATATTGTTCCAACGTCCAAAGTGACTCTATCGTGAGACAAACGAATAAAGTTCATCTCCTATCTTACACCACAATGAACAATAAACACATATTTTATTACAATATTGTTCCTCCCTACGAAAACTTCCGTTTTCCTACGCCATCGAAAAAAAAAACATACTTGAAAATTTCAGTATCGTGTTCCTGTTTGTGCCTCATTATGACTGAAAGAGGACCCATATCGGCATTCCTTTCCTGATGGACATAATTAAAACTTGATATTGTTATGTTTTTTAGGCTGAGTTGGAAAATGGAGAGGATGTGGCTCGGTGCCCCAGCTGTTCTCTTATTTTGAAAGTCATCTATGACCTGGTGAGTTGTTTTTATGGAGAAACAGCCTAACATTTTAGATTGCTCTTTACCTCTGTTTTGAGGTATAATCAGTGGCCATGAGATGTGTGTACTGGACTACAGATAGAAAGATTCAGATGCAAGACATACTGTAGCTTGTGTCACTATTACTGGTGTTTCCATTGGACCAGACACTTTGGAGTTTTTCTTTGTGCAAATGTGTGTCAGCGATGCACTTTTTGGTAGAAGGAAATGAAAAGGAGTTCAAAAGTTAAGAAAGGTGTTCCCCTGTGTGCATCCTTTAGGACATACATGATTTAATAGAGTAATGTACTGCTGAATGTAACTGATTAATTGGTGACACCTGATAACAGTTTGTGCTCCAGTGAACACAATTATGCTTTAAAATCTCAGAATCTAAACTGCAAGTTCCTTGAGGGGAATGTATTAGCAAAGGCAGGGCAGTATTTTGTTCTTGTTAGGACACATGTCACTTTGATTTTGTCTCTTTCAAAGTGAGGTCATGAGTCACAACTTTGTGGGAAAGTGAGTTTTACCTACAAAGGAGAAAAGCAATCATTTTTGCATGAGATATAGTGATTACCCCTATTTTAAGGTAGAGGCTCTTCACATCTGAGAATTGGCCTATTCAACCATCTTTCATTTTACTTTTTAACTGTAAATGTGTGCATTTCTCTTAGGAAGATTTCATGGTTGCTGAAGAAATTGCTGCACCAGCCCCAGTCATGCAGAGGGCATAGGTAGTAACTAGAGGAACAATAACATAACCAGCAATGTTGTGGTGAGACCCAGTACCAAGCACAAGGAATATCAACCAAAGTTACATCTTGGCTGAAGAGTAACAGTCTTCAACTTGGGGCGATGTGCAGAGAGAGGTCAAGACTGTTCTCAATATGAACTTTAAAGACAAAAAGTTTCTGTTCCCCTATTATTTTTGTCACAGTATTGTTTCTCAGATCATAAGTGGATACCCAACCCTTAAGCCACACAAAGGGACTATTTCTCAATATTTGGAGTTATACCCTTTTTTAATACCAATTCCAGGATTTAATTTGTGAGCCCCGTTCAAAGTCAGCACCCTTCCTTAACCCTTTAACTTCCATAAGTGATAAACATGGAACTTCTCCCAATAATATCCACATATTATCTAGCAAACAGGTTATGAGAATACTCAAACTTATCAGGTAGAAGTTGTTATTTTGATCTAACACCAAATTCTCTTAACTAAATTACAAGAAAATGTGTAGAGCTAGAAGGGAGAATTATGGATCAGATCTCAGAGTTGAAGGGTGAACACTGACAAGTGCAGAATCAGAGATAAAATTGTGAACTGCAAGTCACAGACTCGATTACCACAATTAAAGACAGCACTACAGGAAAATAATTATCAAGCTTTTTTAATTACAATTAGAGCTGCTCATTCTTAAGTACAAAATATAATAATTTCAGCTAAACAGTCCAAATAAAATGTACATTATAAATATTTGATTGTGTCTGATGTCATTGACAATTTATGCTATGAGGTAACATAGATGAATTTAAATCGATGCATATGAGTTTGAATTTGACATATTTTTACAGAGCAAAACTTTTGGCCTGTTCCAGTTGCTCACTCTGTAAAAGCAAAGTGTGATTGGTATTGTTAATGCAGCCATGGTAGCTGCTGGGGAAAAAAATGAGAGATTTAGGTTGGATAGTTCTGCTGCTACCGTTGTAAGTTTTGATTATTTCCCCTCTTTTTGACTAATTGAACACTTGGAGCTGGCTTCAAGAGTTTAGATTTTAGAGTTTCTTTTTTTATAAAAAAAATAACTCTATGTTAGTGTATAGAGTGGTATGTTGCTCGCACCAATCAGATTGCCATATTAGGGTATGTATCTTATGCTAATCAGATTGTGGCATTAGGATATGTATCGCACCAATTAGATTGTTGCATTTGGGTATGTATCTTGCACCAATTACATCGTTGCATTTGAATATCTTGCATCAATCACAGTGTTTGAGTGTTGTTTTCATGTAAATGATGTCATGGATCACAGGGCTATGCACAAAGAACAACATTAAACTAGAAATACTGGGCTTATTTGGTAAGTGCGATGGTTTGTGGCCTTTGCAAAAGCCTTGTCAATTAAGGTCAAGATTTATCAGGATATTTCAAAGTAAAATTACGTGGAATCATATTTTTGACATAACTAACTGTTGACAAATAATTTTGATTTTCTCTCTGTTGGAGGAACAGCAGTAAGTGTAGTCTCTTTTGCAACCGTTATTTGGTCTTGTCACATGAAAAGCTCTCTCTCAAATGAGAAATAGAGGGCATTGTGTGACAAGACCAAACAACAGCTGTGAAGGAGACAACTGTAAGTGCGGCATGGATTTCATTTTAACTTGGAAGTATTTAGAAAATAAAGATAATAGATCACATAATATCTGTGTGAGTTCAGATAAATTATGGTTTTTCTGTCTTTCTGCAATATTTTAGTTTTTTGAAAGCCATGCTCTTTTTCAGTGACAAAAATGAAACCATTAAGTACACAAACTGTCCCATCTCAACCCACCCAGCCAAAAAAACAACTCTTGCCTATGTTTTATATTTGTGAAGCCAAAAAGCAGGGTCCCAATGATCATGGAAGGGGTCAAAATATGGTGAGAACAAAAAAGTGGCACACGAGGTGCAGAAGCGGAGCTTGTCACTGATGTTCCTTCCATCATTTGATGTTTACTGTGTTCTTCTGCTGAACAGATCCACAAATACATAGAATCTATTTGTTTATTTATAACAATGAAAAATTTTGTTAATAATGTCATCTTCTATGCATCTGTAATCTGAAATATTGAAGTAAGAGGCAGTCAAAAAGCATGTATCATTTAGCTTCTTGCATCAACAGTGTTGAACAGCGTGTAAGATTCATTACCAATCCATCAAACACACCATTGATTGGGTTCTCAGCCCTACCGGCACCAAAATGTAACTGGTACTGCAGATTTATTTGGAAGCTGATGTGTATGATTTCACTGTGACAGTTCTGATCTGACTTATTCTTGCTTTTGCTTGGCTCTTTTCCTTCCATTGCCTGTGAATGACTGGTGGCCACAAAGTTAACATTCTTGACCACTACAGCATCAGTCTGGCATTTCAATGGATACAACTGGTACTACACATTTAACTGAGTACTCATGAACCACTGGTTTCCGCTGTGGTTCAATAGAAGTCTCTTCCCTAGGTGCTCTTGAGAAAACACTTTCAGAAAATTTGCAAGAAATGTTCCCATACTCCTGTAGAAAGGGACAAGTCCCGAGGAGAAACTCACAAAAGTCCTTTCGCATTCCAAACCACCCTACAAAAATGAAAAAAAATGATAATTCTTAAACAAACTTCTGACTTATGTGTGAATTTAAAATACATTTCTCTGTGTCACTGTCCCTAGAATCAAAGTAAAATTTTTGTCTCCAACATAGTTGAAAGTCTCAAGAAAAGAGAGATGATTACCTTCTTGATTATCTTTACTTATCTGACTGACAGGTATTTAAACTAATTTATTTCACCCTTGAGCTCCCATGAAAGACCAAGACAGAATCTCTCCTCACAATATCAAAACAATATCAAGCAGAAAAGTGATGGGAATAAAGAAAATTATTATATACTCAACAAAATATCGCGTTTCTGATTGGTCAATGATGAATGCATAAATAGGTTATAGAGTGCAATAGAGGTTATAGAGTGCCATACGAAGAAGTTGCCATGGAAACACTGGGGAAGCGCCAAATTTGAACACCAAATTATAAAAAAATGGCTGACAGCCGGTTTGCTTTGTCAAACCAAAACATTGTTGAGCAACTTAAAGAAAATGCGAAAAACAAAAACACGTTGAAAGCTACACAGACCTGGTTAAATGTCTGACAATAAACAATAAAACATGTGAGCATTTTGGAACCCATTGAAGTGTTTTTTGTAGTACGTAAGGCGTGCAGAGTAGCGATGGAGTAATTTTGTTGAGTATATAATAAATAAAAAATTGTATGAACCTGCTCGTGCATTTCGTGATTTATGGTCACTCGTGATGTTTTGAAAGTTCTCAAATTGCACTCGCCTACGGCTCGTGCAGTTTTGAGAACTTTCAAAACATCACTCGTGCCCATAAATCACAAAATGCACTCGCGTTCATACGATTTCCTATACATATCAAATAGGGGATTATTAGTTGGTCCACCACCAAATTCTCCTAACTAAAAGCATAAGAATGTATGGTAGAAAGAAAGGAGAATTATTATGAGATCTTGGGAGTGAAAGGGTAATCAAATGCCAAACCTGGGAGCAAAAGAGTCAAAGGAAAACCACAATGATGAGACCCCAAAACCATTCACTCAGAGATTTCCCGACTCTTTTGATTAGTTGAATCAACTTACAGTGGTTGCCTCCTTTGTGATAAAAGGAAGTGGCCAGTAGACTCAGAAGAGAGATTTGAAGGGGAGCAACGACTCCAACAAACATGTCTTGTGTAATGCCATCAAGTCTGTTACAGAGGATGATCTGAAGCAAAATTACAAAATCCACATCCAACTCTCTTTACAAACAATATTTTCATAAAACCGTTTTCTGAGATTCTCAACTGCATTAAAAATTGGATTTCTTGAGAGAAATATAGAGAAAATGGAAACTATTTACAGAGACATGTAAAAGTTTTTTTCCCTTTGGAAATGGAAGAACCTGTATGTGACAAGTTTAGAAATAGCCTTTTTTTGTCTCCATAATATATGGTCTAATTCTTACATATCAGCTGACACTCGCATCCCCTTAACTCTCTAACCTCGAAGAGTGACTAACATCTAATATCCCCTCACAATATCACCCCTGAATCATGCAGTAAAGTCATGAGAATAAAGAAAAATTATCAGCAGCAAAAGAAGTTGCTGATTGTCACACAAATTCTCCTTGTCAGTACCTTAGGGAATGTATGGGGAACAGTATGGAGAAAACCTTTACTGATAACAGTGTATAAAGGGTTAAGGCAAATCCTCCTTACTCAAGTTGCGAGTTAGATGACTGCCCTGTAAAATAACATACCTGAAATGTTAGAAGTGGAATGACAAGGAGAACAGAAGCTACAGCCACCATGACATGGCCTCGACGCTGTGCTGGAAGAACTTCTGCTGTCCTGACAAATATTATAGACCATATAACATAATACAACACTAGAAGACAAAGTAAGGACAGCACTATCCACATAGGAACAAACACAACCTGCAAAACAAATTAAAACAGGAATCCCCTTAGCATACTTAATGTCACTCTTGGCAATTCCTTAACCCTTTCAACCTTAAAGAGTGACCAGTTTCTAATTTCTCCTTACAATTTCACTCCTGAATCACACATTAAGATATAAGAATAAAGGAAATGATCACCAACAAGAAAATCTCTTGATTGCAAAACAAATTCTTAATACCAGGTTATGTTTAGTAAATTTGAGAATCTTTGGTTTCTTTTCTTGTTAATGATGTGTTGCTAGAAGTTAAGAACATTGCAAAAGTTGGTTCACAGCAGAAATCTTAGTCCTCTCAAACTGCAAAAAGAATTTTTCCCTGAAAATACAAAAGAAAATTGCCAATCTGTTGACGAAAACTCTGACTCTTGAAATTTCCATACCACTTAGAAGTCAATTCACACTCACCACCCATGACCATAGGATAACTCTGTCCAGGCGTAGGGAAAGGAAGATAAACTGCAGAACATTTACTGAGAACACTGTTTCAAGCTGCATAAAAGAAGGGAAAAGAAAATCACTCAGTTCAAGCCACACCAGAACCAACAGAACCAAAAACAACAGATTATCAGTCCTAGTAAGTTAAAAAAAAAAAATCAAGGTGCTGTGTCAGTGGGGGTATCCCAAGATAACTTGGTTAATTATCAACTGAGTTGATGATGTTAACCCTTTAACTCCCATGAGTGACCAAGACAGAATTTCTCCTTACAATATAAATACAATGGCAAGCAGACAAGTGATGAGAATAAAGAAAAAAATCTTAATTTGGGGATTATTAGTTGATCCAATACCAAATTCTCCAAACTAACATCACAAGAACTATATTGCAGACAGTAAGGAGAATTACTCATGAGATCTTGGGAGTTAAAGGGTTAATTGCCCACTGTAAAGAGTTTCTAAAGCTGACATTTTGAACTTTATACCTTACCTTTGAGAACTGATAAAGTTTGATAAAAAGCTGTCACCAATATGAGAAGGTGAAATTTAGAACATTGGCCTTTCCCTGGAACAAATTACTCTGATGAAAGTTGATGCTCAAAATGTCACCTTTTACAACAGGTATTAACCCCCCAATAAATCTTTATTGCTTTCAAAAAGAAAGAAGCTGTTTGCGAGTAACTCATCTCATCTGTGATTGATTAGTATTGAGGTATTAAAACCACACACAAAGTGTCTCTTGACCATTAATGGACACCACTCTTGATAATTGGCTTATCTTATGATTACAAACCTCTACTGATCTGTCATGTCTGAATCCCCAGATACAAGCGATGATTGACAATGATGATAGCACATACAAAGGCATAAACATGAGTCTCCATGGAAACATTTGACCACCACCAAGATTAATGCATACAAATATCTCAAACATCAGCAAGAGAAGATGCAAAGCAAGGCAGATAATCATTGCCTTGAAATCCACATGACTATCTCCTTCACCTCTGCGAAGATGGAAAGGAGATTAATGTTATGATATTCAGCTGAAAGCAATTCTTGTTGGCTTAACACTTCAAACCCTTAGAGTGACCAGCATCTAATTTCTCCTTTCAGTAATTCTGCTAAATCAGTCAGCAAGATCACGAGAATGAATGAAATGATAGCAAACCTAAGAAGCGTTGAGTTTTAACTCTTTTAAGTCCCATGAGTAACCAAAACTTATTTAAATTTATTACCTGTACTCCGGATGTCGAATCCAAATGTAAATTCCAGTGAAAGCACCTGATAAAACCATGATTTTCCAAATCCAAACAGGAGTGAAAACCGCCCAGTAACTCCACGTGATAGTTCCATCCAAACGCAACGCGAGCAAGATCGAAAAGATGAAGAGTGTAAAGAACAGTAGAAATTTACTGGAAGAAAAAAATGAGAGGAAAAATTGATCACGAATGTTTGATATCCATCACACATTTCTCTTACACACGAAGGGCTTTTTATTCATAATTACCTTGGATTAAAATCTTGGAAAAGACGACGAAGATTCATGTCCTAACTCAAACTATTCGTAAAGATTACGATGAATGGACATGCATAGGCACGCGATCAATGAACCGTGTTCAAAAAAATACGAAATTATTTTATTAAAAACATGGCGAGGATGCTTAGCGGTTCCTCTTTCCCAAGAGGTCTTGAGGTCTTGGTAACTAGCACCCAGCTTTCTAAGCAGAGCAATGAGAACGGACACAAGGAAATAAGGGCGGCTACGAACACGAGGACGTGACAGAATAAAAGATCTGGTGAGCTGGACAAAAGCTAAGCACGAGTTTGTGCATTTGTTAGCCGTGCTCTGCAAAACAACAAGGTGAAATCGCAAAATTTGCGTGGTCTGCGATGAGAAACCCCGACGGAAAACTCTTTAATTTTCCATTTGGAACTCCCTTAGGTTATGCTAAAGTTGAGGTGCGGCACTGTTAGAGACGATAAACACTTCAAGCCATTTGCGAAATTACAACCAAAAGCATAAATTTATTTTCAATCAAATTCTACTTTGGCGTTGCCGTCCTGACTGCTAAAGTTTCTTTTGATGATGATGACGACGATCTTAGGCTGATCTGGTTCGATTTTAGACGTTTTCGTCAATTTTCGAACGGTTTCGATACACGACGACTTTCGGCTATTGTGACCGATTTGAAATGGTTTCGTCTTTTCAGTTGATTTTTCCTGTCTGATTTCTAGACGATTGGATCTACGAATGCGACCGTTCTTAGACTTTTCCGTCCTTTCTTAAAGACCTTTTAAAGGGCACCGTTTTCAACTGGTTTTCCTGATTTCGGATGGTTTCATCCGCCTTACGTCGATGCGTCTAATTTTGGATCGATCCGTCCGATCACAGACGGTTATGTCCGATATTGGACGGATCCATCCGATTTTAGACGATTCCGTCTGATTTCGAACATTCCAACCCATTTCAGACGGCAGAGTGTGACTTTGGAGGAATTCGCGCAAAATTGGAAAAAAAAACCATGCACTTGATAATAATGTAATCTTTTATTCACAACATCCTTTTTACAACGCGAATCAAATCACGAGAATTAACTTTTTAATAACTGAGTTATTTAGTAAAGAAATACACTAGCTATGTTCTGTGAAAATTCTGCAGGTTTCAATTTTTGCGGATAGTCCGCGCAGAAAGAAACCTTCGCAAATTTTTCAGTATACACAATACACTGTACTGCAAGAGAACTCCTTTCTCCCTTGTATCTTTTGTCCACTGTTTTAAGTCTCTCTTTATCAGGTATAACTATGTTAGAAAGAGAGCAAACCAATGGCAAACTCCTTATTTCAAAGTTATATAACCTAGCCAATCTTTTCTAGCTATTGATAACAGTGACTGCTTTTTCCCAACAAAAATCTTTGTGGACGGGGTATATTTGTCTGCTACATTGTTTGATTTTTATCCTGCTAAAATGTACGAAACATGAAAAGATCAAGTGAATGCCGCACGCCTCCTCTTAGGTTTGTTGGCAGAAAGAAT